GTCCAACATGGTGGTGGAACGTGATGCTTTGGGGCTGTTGTTGAGCCGATGGACCAGACAGCCTGGTCAGAGGAAACGGCTTCATGAGAACAGAGGAGAACATCACGCAGTCTGCAGGAACACTGCTCCTTGGGCAGCAGTGGAGCTTCAACAAGAAAATGATGTGAAACATGCAGCCAAAGTGGTGAAGAAACGGTGAAGAGGAAACAATGAGGAGATGTTGGAGCGGCCCAGCCAGAGTCCAGACCTGAATCCATCCAGAACCTGTGGAGGAGCTGAAGAGCAGAGTGATGGAGAGGAACTTGGAGGAACTAAATCCCAGAAACACTGTTAGACACTAGAACAGCTGTTGGACTGATGTGGAGGAAAATAAGAACGTATACACTGATGACTGAGAAAGAGGATGAATCATTTTGGACATGGCAATTTCAGTAAACAAAATAAAACAAAACAAAAACATAAAAATCGTTCCTTGTTCCCATTGACATCTCTAACACAATGTCTTACAGTGTTTTGTCACTTCTAGCCAAAATAAACCAATTGGTCAAATAAAAGTTCACTATGAGCTGAATGTAAACATGGACATGACAAACTGTTAGCCGTAGACTTCAACTACAGACCTGTAGGTGTGAACAGGTAAGGACGAGGTAACAGAAAGTTAGAATACTTAAAAAAGTCACGCACAATTTATATGTGTCAATTCTGGAAAATGTCATTTATTACTATTAATATTTGGCAATTTAAATTATAGCATAATATTGCACTGCTGTTGTCACGTCAACATCAAAACATACAGACACATCCTTCTCTTCCATAAAACTTCATCTTCATGGTTAGTTTTAGCATTTTGTGTCTTTAGCTTCAATGAGCATTTAAATCTTGCTACAAATGTGGGGGAAAAAAAACAAATTTTTTCCTGCACACCCATCCATTTTCCATATTTATTCATTCTACTGCCAGCAGGATGATCTAACGGTTACAGTCAAACACCCGAAAGACAATTTTGTTATTTGTTCTCATAAGCGTTTGTTCTCGTGCTCCTCTCTTTTTTTTTCACGTCTACCCACCTCCTTTCCTTCTACTTGACCTCCTCGGTCTTTGCTCTCTACTCGACCTTCCAGATTGCGATCTTGCCGTCGCGGCGTGCGGAGCCACTCAGGACGTAGCGGTCCTCGGCGGAGCACAGCGTCTGGATGCTGTCTGAATGGGCCTGCAGCTCCTTTTCCACCGTGTGGCTCTGAGGGTCGACCACCAACACCTGACTCCTCAGCTGGCCGTCGCTCTCCCCTCCAACGCTGCTCCGGCCGCGACAGCCCACCCAGATCTGAGCAGGCGAGAAGATGTCAAGGAAAAAGATAGAAAGTGAAGAGTGAGGACCGAGAGTCAGCAACAACCTCTCATGCTAGAATTGACTGTCTTTTCCAGGCCTTTTAAAAATAACAGCAGCATATTAAGAGACAGAACTCCAGAGATTTTCTGTCTGTTTTGATGTCACATTTTTACTAAACTTGGTGCTGCACCTCTACGGAAACAGAACAACTATGACTAGGAGGGAAATGTCTTGAGTGCTGCTTAACAGTTATAATTCTATAAATCTCTAAAAATAAAAGATAAATCAAAAGTTAGTTTTTTGTCATTTTGCAAAACTTGAAAGAATCTAGAATCAACATGTTTATTATTTTAGTGTCACCAACACTTAAAAAACAAACTAAAAAGCTTGGTCATGTGACTGTTAGTTACAGTGGAGTCAGTCGTGGCTTTTCAGTGGCGATCAGGAGTGCAGAATTGTTTTTGCAAACTATAATTCGAGCAAATGCTATATTTTTGTTATTTTTAAAAATGAAACAAGTAGAATTAAATGATTTTGATGTAATACCACATTTTTACACTCAGGTTTGGTCCAGCACATAAAAGCACATCACAGACGAGTAGATNTTTTATCTTCATGCATTCATTTACAAGTAGAGTCATCCAGTCATTTTACACGGACAAGTCTGCTTACTTCTATGTTTCTCTGTGTACAGGAACCGTGTCCTGGTGACCGCTATCGTTTTCCAGCTCTGTCTGGGTAATCTGCTGTGTTACTGCCCTGGGATGCCCAATATCTTCAATTTCATGCCCATCAGGTAAACATTTTTGCGATTATGTTAAACTCAACGCGAACTTGGGAGTAGAAATTGATCAGAATGGTACAAAATACACATTTTAAATGGCACATCATGACATGGAAAATTCATTTTACACTACAAACATTGCTTTTTACATATTCAAGCCTAATATTTGTCTCCAGGGTCCAGTGGTGGTTTGTTCCTCTCCCATACGGTATTTTAATTTTTGTCTATGATGAGATCAGAAAGTTGGGAGTAAGAAGACACCCAGGAAGTAAGTTAAAGTTCTTTAAACACCCATTCTTCAGTCATTATGAGCATCTTTACACCCATCAGCCGTCATTAATCTGTGCTCTATAATCTCTCAGGTTGGTGGGATCAGGAATTATACTACTGAAACCAGAGAAACTATTTCATTCATTCATCCAACAACCTGCATGAAAGCATCACTCGTTCAGCTGCAAAACCTGACGACTTCATCACTCATCTGCACTGTGATCCATGTATTTATAGCTTAGACAGTCTCACCGCATTGTAAGAATGTTTAAGATGAATTAACTCCTTTGAACAAAGTAAAAAGTGAATCATCACCAACAGTCAACAGTCAGTAATTCACACATATTGGTTGTATTCAGCTCTGTAACTTTGGCTACATTGTGTTCTATTAATGAAGAATTAAAAGACTGTCAACACCATCACATTAACAACCGTATGTTATTTTACTTCATACTTTGAAGGTTTTTTGTTTTTAAAA